TGGATTGTCTGTCCAGCTCTTCTTGCAGATGGGTGTCACACTGACTAACTTCTGGTCACCTGGGACCTCCCTCTTTAGCCACGCCTGCTGGTAAATGATTGAAAATGACTCAGTGACTCTACCAGCTCCCTCTGTACCCTTGGGTGGGTCCCATCTGGTCCCATGGACTTGTGCATGTCTAAGTGGTAAATCAGTACATGCTGGATACTCAAGAAGAAATTATTTTTATCCCTTTTTCTCAATGTTCCTTTCTCCTGTAGCCTGCTCCTCTTTACAGAGTTTACTTCTGGCTTCACACCTCTGCTTTTAATTTTGTACAGGTTGCATGGAAGTGTATCTGAAACTGAATTGCTGGATTTTAAGTATTGATGTTTGTGGTTTGTACTCGTAAAGTCAATCAAAAGACTGACCAGTGTTCTTATCAGTGTTCAATCTGGCATACTAGAGCCAAATTAAAATTGATGGTCATGAAGAAGTCAGGAAGGTAAACACTAGTCAGGAAGAGAACTTCCTCCTCAGTTTCAATGCCATATCTATAGACAGTCACAGGGACAACACATTGCCTTGCAAAATGCAGTAGACTGCTGATAACCTTTCTCTTACTGGAGCAAGCTCCAGGTTCTGAGAACAGAATATCAAAGGTGCAGAACTCCTGGGAACTGAGCAACAGTTTCTGTTTTGCTTCTCCCTGCTGCCCCCTGCCCTCAGTATAAATTTCATCATTTAAAAGTAAGTATATTACTAAAGCTTTTGTGTTTAAAACCCAGATAGTTGGAGGGATCTAAGCTGTATTTATGTAAGTAATTTGTGGCAAAAGATTATTATTTTTTGAGTCACTAAATCCCTCACTATTTCCACTTTTCTAACTAATGCTTCTCTTTAAAACATTAAGAGGTTTTCTGGTGAGGAAGGCTTCATAACCAGAAGTTTCTAATTGCTAGCTAACAGTTACATGCTCTGGCAAGAGCATTAATCTTTCACTTACCAGTGGAAATATTTGTAAAACTAGAGATACTTAAACGTCCAGTATTTGCTTTTTTCTCTTTTACAAATGATTGCTGAATCAGTTTTTCTTGTACAGTTGAGTGGATTTGACTGGGGAACGAACTTGATTTATTTGACATTGAGACCAGTGAGAAAATGAAGGATTTTATTTCCATGGGAAATGGAGGACCTTGAAAGCCAAGTAACAGTGACGATTGAACAGCTCAAGTGGGTTGGAATGATTGAGGGTATAGTTAAATATTTATCACTTGGGTTTAAACCTCTCTGAATTTTATAGTATCCTTAAATCATTAAAAAAAATGCAGATCAGTTTAGGAATAAAACTGTTTAGCTAGAGACTCAGAGAATGCTGTATCAATTCTTTAGCAAGGACAACAGGGAGAAAGATATCAACTCACCAAACCCAAAATATTAAAGGTTATTGAAAGAAACAGGAAATTCCTACTATTCTGTAGATGCAGGAGGTTGCATAACTGTTATGGTGTTAAAAACTTATGGTCATTATGCTTATGCTCAGGTAACATCTATAACAAAATGCTGAACTATATTTCAGAATGGCAGAATTTGGGGAGCAGTGAACCTCCAAATAGTCTCTTGCCATCACAGTTTGCTGGTTGATTGGCCTGTCACCTATGCAGCTGTGTCCGTAGGGGGTGGTAGCTTATAGCTCCTCCTGTCCTCTAGGTCTTCTAGGTCTTCCTCTAGGACTTCTAGGTCTTTATTTTTAGATAAGATGATTAATAGACCACATCTCTGAAGCCAGAATGTAGCTGTGGTGAAACTGAGATTCAAAAGACTGTTTTTCAGTGGTTCCTGGGCAAGAGTGAAGTTACCATTCAGTCCTCAGGATGACCATGCAGAGTCTACAGTGTAAGAATGGCAGTGCTTGTTCTGGTGACAACTAAAGAAGCGACACTCTGCTCTACCTTATCCCTACTCCCTTTGTGCAGGGAGACTGTCCTGAGTGATCTCCAAACGCCCCTTCCAACCTCACACATTCTGTCTGTGTGTTCTGATAATGCTCATATCTTATAAATCGACCCATTATAATATGGTGCTTAAATAATTTGTTCCTGGTACATCTGTGCATAAGAATTAAGCTGGTGTATGCTTGAGCTCTTTGGTTTTAGGCTGCAAGATGTTTGAGCCCAGCTCTGAGATCTTTGATTTCTCCATGATTCTCAGGGACCAAAGTGAAACTGTAGTTCTCTAAATTCTCTTTCTTACTGTTTTCAAAGACAGGTGAAATATTTACTATTCTCCACTACTGGGGAATTGCCTCGTCACCATGATCTCAAAAAGGTAATAGTTGGGGAGTAGCCTTGCAAAGGCATCAACAGATTCTCTCAGCACTCGCAACCAGTCTCATTCACAGACCTACAGAACTGATGTAGCTCTTGTGCTCTGAGAAACTACTGGAAATATTAATTCTCAATGTTTCTGTTCCTAAACACTTTATCACAGTAAATCTTAAATTAGAGTAATTTTGTCCTTTATTTTCCTACTTTGTGCTTTATTCATTTTATTTGCTACTTTTCTGCTTTTTTTATGATAATGTGTTGCTTTGTTTGGTTTCTAGTAATTTCTTGGTTTATTCCATTACTATTAACGTTCTCATGCTGACCAGTTCCTTTTCACTGTTAGAAGACCTAAAGAAGATAAAAAACCTTTTTTTTAACCTGAGATGTTTGGGGGTTTTTTCTGTCAAGAAGTTATCAGATTCTGTTCCATGAATTGTTTTAGTGAGGAAATACATGTTTCTGGAAGCTAGAGGTTCAGTTTACCCATGTTCACATCATGCTCTTATTTGGGTGAAAATTGTGAAGACTAATGCATGTAAAGCTAACTTCAAGACTCTTAAATGCAGTTTCTGGTTCTCCTCAAGTCACCCTCTGAAATTCTGTAGTTTGATCACGGCTCCCTGACTGTAATGCAAACAAAAAGTTTCACTTCTCTTGTAATATCCAGTGTTGTAGTTCCAAAAAGGCACTCTAATTGTGATATTAGATGCAGTAGTCACTGGCAAAGCTTATATTTCAGAAACATCACTTACGGCTAACACACACTAATAGTATTGCCAAAGCCATTAGAACTGGTGTTAGGTGATGAGGTTGAGAAGACAGCACTGCCTATGCTCTGAGGGTCACAAATCTTATCACAGTGGGTATATTGCAGCAGATTGTTGTAGTGGGCATGGTCATATCATCTTGCTTAAGGTGCCATCTTCAAAAAAAACTCTTCAGTAAGAGAAAGTTAATGCCTATACAACATGTCTTTAATGGTTTTCCCAATTTGTAGTGTTTGGTCTGGAAACACTAGGAAAAAATAAGCCAATCCAACAAGAAAAGCACGCATACAGTTATAATTTCATGCACATTCTTATAGTTTGTTACTTTTGCTTTTGGCTACTTGAACCCCAGTTCCAGGGGTGAGATAGGAAGCCCCATTGCTTTTTACAACACACAACAAAGTAATTTGTGGTTAAACTGGAAACAGAATTTATAACAGATAGACAGGATGCACTCATGTAACTACATAACCCTTGAGCTGAAACAAAGCAAATCTAAAATACTGACATATTTTCCTGACATTTTACTGACATATTAACTCAGGCTTAGCATCTGGAAAACACAGCTCCCAGAGCCAAGCACAGTCCCTGTCTTGGCATACAATAAAAGCTCAGTAGTTTGTAGAACATGGAGGGCTTGTGCCATATCAGATAGCCCATTTCCAATGGCATTTTTAGACAAGGTGGAAGATTGTCTCATGGCTCATTCTTTGTTGGAAAGGAAGAAAGAAAAGAGGGAAATATGCAGGTATTTTAAAGGATTACATTCAAAATAGATGCATATTTGGGAAGGTGAAGATTAGTTTGGTGTCTTTAGTCTTTGGACAGGTGAATTTTTAAGAACTTGTCTTTGCAAGTTAAACATTCAGCTGTTTGGTGCAAAATTGAACTTCGCATGGGCTTCTCAAGCTTTGTGCATGCTCTTTGACCTATGACTTCACACCTTCAGGAAGACAGGACCTTTGTCATTTCATCAGCCAGGAGTGTTTTGAGCCACCTGCAGTTTGATACAGTGTGTCTTGTGATCAGCACTCCTTCCACCGAGCTCCTACTCAAGTTTCCACTCTCATCAGTTGGAAAGACAACTGTGCACTTTTGAGGAAAACCTTTCAGCAAGAAGAGGTGGCTTGGAGCAATGCATAGGTACATCCTGCCTAAAAGCCAAACCTCCTTTGCTGATCTCACCTTCCAAAGTTGCATGGATTTTTCAAGGCTGGGCACCCAGCTTCTACTCCTACCTATGCTCTCTGCTGGTGTGGCCTCAACTTGAGTGTTATATACATTCTAAGCACCTCAGTGTAAGAAAGTTATTAAGCCATTAATGTTCAGAGGAGGACAGTGAAGACAGCTTTGAGGGGAAGCCATTCAAGCAGTGGCTGAGGTCAGTTGGTCTGTTCAGCCTGGAGGAGACTTGAGGGAGGATTGGAGTTTCCAACATCCTCACCAGAGAGGATGGACAATGGGGAGATGGACAGGCAGGCACTGATCTCTTCTCTGTGGTGACCAGTGACAGGACCCAAGGAAATGGCCTGAAGTTGTGTCAGAAATGCTGTAGGTTAGGTATTAGGAACAGGTTCTTCACCCAGCAGGTGTTTGGGCACTGGAACAGGTCCCCCAAGGCAGTGGTCACAGCACCAAGCCTGATAGAGCTCAAGAAGCGTTTGGACAGTGCTCTCAGGCACACGGTGTGATTCTCAGGGGTGTCCTGTGCAAGCATAAGAGCCGGACTCGATGATCCTGATGGCTCCCTTCCAACCCAGCGTACTCTGCTGTTGTGCGCCCGGGACGTGGCTCGGGCCCAGGCCTGTCGTGGGCTCCGGACCCCCTTCCGCCGGCCCAGCGGCCCGGGGGAGGGAAGGAGGGGGCGGCCGGCGCCGTGCCCGGGTGAGCGCCCCGCGCGCATGCGCCATGAGCGCGGCGCCCCCGCTCGGCTCCGCTCGGGCCGCACTCGGCTATTTCCGCCTCTTTGTTTTAAACTCCGGGCCGAGCCCTTTAATTCCCCCTTTTTTCTTTTTAAAATTTTCTTGGGAAAGGGAAGAGGGGCCGGTGTTTCCCTCCGCCTCGTGTTTCCGACTCCTCTGCTCTCTGCCCTGCGGTGGCGCTCGGAGAAGGACGGGCCGGGGAGCGGAGGGTCGGCGGCGGCGGGGGGAGCCCCCGCTGTAGCCCCGAGCGGCGGCCGCGCCCCCCCGTCAGGTCAGTGCGGGGCCGGGGTGGGCGTGGGGGTCCCGGCCTTGCCCCGCAGAGGGGCTGGAGGGCAGCCGAGGGGCTCGGGGGCGGGGCGAGCCCGCCGCCCCCCCGCCCGCCTGCGGGGTATTTGCGGTGTGGGCTGCGGGGTAAGAGGAGGGGGCGTGCGGGCCGAGGGTCCTCTCTGCCTCGACGGCTGAGGGGGCTGCGGAGGAGCGGGCCGGGGCTGGGGGGCCCGCGCTGGAACTTTCGGGGCGGGCGTGGGGTGGTCACAGGCGGGGTGGGGGTTTTGTGGGGCTCCTCTCCCGAAACTGTCAGGGAGTCACCGTGGGCCGGGGGAGCGTCTGTCCCTGTCCTGCCGCGTGTGCCCACCGTGGTGTGCCCTCCGTGGGGGAAGGTGGCTCGGGTGCTGGGGGAAAGGAAACCCACACACCCCCGCCCCACCCGTTCCTACCCTCGGGAGGAGTTGCCGGTTGTGTGGAGGGGCCTGGGCAGGGGACAGAATCCCACAGCTTGGGGAGAAAGGGTCTCTTTGAGTGTGGGGGGGGGGGGGGGGGGTGAAGATGGCGTTTCCAGTAAGGTGGGGATAGAGGGGACACGTCCCTTGGGTGTGCGACTTCAGCCGTGCAGGTATGTGGCTCCAGTGCTGTGTATCTGTGATATGAAGTTGTGAGAAATAGGAGATTAATTTATACTCATAGGTAAAATACAGGGGCTTGAATTGTTTTACAGTCTAGAGACAAATATATGTGCACACACACATGCACACGTATTTACATGTGTATGTGTTCGGTATTGAGAAATTTTGAAAGTTTTCTAAACCACTGAGTTCTAGGAACTTGTGGTGTCACATTTGGCCTTTTAAGTTGGTCACTTCTAGCCTGAAACTGTTGGGTGTTACTTCAGTGCCTGTGTGGAAAGTTTTGTGTGTCCCAAAGTTAAAAAGGTTCAAAGGAGGTTTGGTTATTGAGGCTTACAAGCAGTTGGATGTTCTTTTGCTACTTCACATATTTGCAATTTTTTTTTTTTTTTTTTTTTTTTTTTTTTTTTTTTTTTGTGGTTACAAAACTGTTTGTACAGGCTTTCTGTCAGATCAGTTTAGGCTCTTCTTGCTTTCTGTATGCAATTAATGTGTCTGAGAAACCAGTTCAAGAAATTCTAGTTTATTACCTCTACATTCTCTGGAATGTTCTGAAAATATTTTCTTTGGTGTTTTCCAAAATAATACAGTGTATTTTCTTCCAGAGTATCATAGAAGAATTAAGTCCGTGGATCAAAAGCTTGGAATTTAAAAAAAAAAAAAGAGATGAGCCTTTATGTTTAAGGAGCATCCCATGTATGTCCTCCATTGTAGATTGGTTTTGTTCATACAGAATGAACAATTAAGTGTATGGTAGCTATGTTGTTAGGAGTCATTTTAGTACTAGGTAGTGTGCTGTTAAAATATTATTATTAGTTATTTTGGCGTAGGATACTTGTAACGTTCTGTGTCCATTCTTTTAGTGGCAGATCAGATTAGAATCTCAACTGTGGTACTCATCATGTGTCTCGTAAAGGTGCTCTGAAATTCATAAAATTATTTCATAACAAGGGAAATAGAAACTTTGTACCGTTTCAGTAGTGTTACTATTTCTTTTGAAGCTATTCTTGTAGACAGTTTATAATGTGTTTAAGGGAATACAGAAGCTGTGCAGAACCCAAGAGACTTGGTAGAAACACATAGGATGCATTAGAAGAGTGTCAGCTGACTTTCTGGAAATGCATAGGTGCACAGTGACAGCTTGGAAATAAAACATTTCATAAACCAGTTTTTGAGGAAAATCTATTTGATTTCTTTCTGTGGCCTGATCTGGCTGATTTGATCTTGTTTCTCTGCTATCACTGTAGAAAATCAAGATGAAATACTTGTAAATGTTATAATAAAGTCGACTTAGATTTGTAATTATCCTAGCTTAATAGTAATGCCAAGAATGGCAGAAATTAATTGCTATGGTATGAAAGATTTTTGCTACTAAGAGACTGTAAAGTACAACATTTAGTCACTGCAGCTGTCCTGCTCTTACATCTCCTGTCTACTTACATGATTCAGAGGAGGTCATCTCAAAGCTTTATATTTGAGATACAGGTAAGTTTTCTCATCAAGAACCATTCTACACTTACTTTAATAGCTTTCATTTCTTTTTTCCCATATGGCCATTTAATCTAGGTATTGTGGCCATTTTAGCTTTTGTTGTGTAATGAACTCCCAGGACTGAAATAATTCTGGATTAAATTCTTGAACTCCTTGGGTCACACTGTGAGAAGAAGTTGAACCATTTCCATTGAAAATCTTAAGTGGAACTACTAAGCTCTACGCTACAAAGTGGATGTGGTCATGATGTTTTGAAAAGCATGCATGTTTTTTTTTGATAAAAGATAGCCTTTCACTCTACAACTACTGTTTTAAATTATGATACCGACTTACAACAAAGTATAAGGACATCTTGTATTTTATAAAAGAAATATTTACTCCTTGCTTTGGAACTAGTGTCCTTGCATGTATGTAGTAAGTCAGTAGTTACTAAGTGGAAGTTTGTTTTGATAGTAGCGTTTGGAGATGCAGTTGATTTAAGACTGTCAGCATTCCTAAGAGTTTATTAATCTAAACTCTGGTCTCTTTTTGTCAGTGCTACTAAAGATGTTTAGTGACGTTTAAACTTCTCTGATTTGCTAGTTTTAAGTTAGGTTTGTTGTCATATTTAAAGGAAATGGGGAGGAAAATCTTCTCAGGGCACTTTGACTACAGTAGGTTAGAAGCCAGGTAGAAGTGCCCATGTCTTCTAGCTTAAACAAGACTTATTTGGAAGCTCTGTCTTCAAGTAGTTTTGCATTACTTGCACCACCCTTTTTAAAATAGAAGCTTGCTGTATGTGAAAGTCTTACATGCAGTACAAGAGAAAAAAATAATCAGGTTCTTCTGTGTTAAAAGCAGTCTTACCTGTTACAACATATTTTCATTGCTAACTGAAGAAACACTGTAAATAGTGGTTTGTTCTGTAATTGCTTTGAAGAGCCTAGAGAAAACTTGCCGCTTTTATCAAAATTCATAGAATCATAGGATGTTTGGGTTGGAAGGAACCTGAAACAACATTTTGTTCCAGCTTCGCTGCTGTGGACAGGGACACCTTCCACTAGACCCAGTTCTCAGGGCAGCGTCCAAATTGTCCTTGAACACCTCTAGGGATGGAGTATCCACAGCTTCTCTGGGCAGCCTGTTTCAGTGCCTCACCACACTTACAAGCAAAGAATTTCCGTGCAGTATCTAATCTAAACCTCCTGTCTTTCACTTTGAAGCCATTCCACCTTGTCCTGTCAGTACATGCTCTTGTACAAAATCCTTCTCTTTTCTTGTAGGTTCCCTTCCAGTACTGGAAGGCTGCTATTAGATCACCCTAAAGCTTTCTCTTTTCCAGGCTGAACAACCCCAGTTTGCTTAGCCTTTCCTTGTAGGAGCTGCTCTAGCCCTCTTATCATCTTGATGGCCTCCTCTGGACTCACTCCAGCAGGTCTGTGTCTTTCCTGTGCTGGGACCGTAGAGCTGGACCTACAGGGTTAGGGTTAGACCCATGTGGGGTCTCACCAGAGCAGAGCAGAGGGGCAGAATCCCCTCCCTCACCCTGCTGGCCACCACCAGCGCCCCCAAGTCCTTCTCCCCAGGGCTGCTCTCCATCTGTTCATCTGCCAACTTGATTGGCTCACCAAGGCTTCCAGGTCTGGATGCAGGTCTGGGCTCTTGCTCAGGAATCCTTGAGCTTGGGAACCCCCCTGTACATCTTGATCTAGTGCTCACCCACACTTACCTCTGCTGGTGATGCTGCCTCATTGTCTGACTGAAAATTAGCTTTTCTCAAGTTAATTTTACTGAATAAGTGCAGCTATATTTAAATCAACAGAATATGAAATTGAAATACTCAGTGTGGTGGGAACTAATTGGACTGAAAACCTTATGTGCTACTGATAGTTTGATTGAAGTTTGTAGAGACCTGAAGTTTTGCAATCATACTGAAGAGCCAGCATTGTAGGGAAGAAATAAACCAGCAGTGAGTTCTTCAATGACATTATTTTCTTTCCCCCTCTGCCTTTTTTCTCTTTAATCAGAAACAATACTTTAGACTTGGAACTTCAAACTATATGTAGGAACTTAAGGGTCTCTTTATTCCTTTGACAAACACAACACATACTTTTCAAAAGTAGGGGGTGGTACAGATCATTAAAAGTAGGGGGAATGACAAACTCTGGTGAGCTCAAGTTACTTGTTCTTTGTGCCAGAAAATGACTGTTCTCACAGTTATGACTGCCTCTTTCAAATTACAATTATAAGTTGATGCAGCCAGTGGGGGAAATTTTTGAGGAGGTGGGGGTGAGAACTGGAGTAAATCAAGGTATGTGTGGTAGCATTATTATAGTTCAGGGATTGTAAGGAAGAAGTATGCAAGAGTGATAATCAGTCTTTTTTGTAGTTTTGTTGCCAGTAGAAGAACTTAAACTAGCGCTGACACTATTTTTCATCTCTGCAAAGTGGCATGGAGACTTTCTCTCCCTGTAGACATCTATTTTGGATGATCTTAAGAGAACTATTTTGTTTTCTGAATTTTTAACTGACAGTAACTTAGAATTTTGTCTATATTAAAATGTTCTATGTTCTGGCAGCAGTAAGGTTCCTTCTTGTTTGATACATAGACTGTCCTTATTGCTGCAAACTGTTGCTTTATGAATAGCATTAAGTTCATTTTCATTTAAGACAAAGCATTCTGTGCATGTTTGGTGTCAATGAGAAAATGCTGTGCAGTACCTGTGTGATTAGGAGATGAGAAGTTAATTGTTTAGGTTCATGGAGTAAGTTTGATGTTATTTGCTAACTTGCAAATGGCTGTTTTGTCAAGATTTTCCCTTAAGAACTTTTTTTTTCTCTCTACATAACCAGACAGCATACAGTACCTTCTCTAGTTTATTATTATCCAGTTACATCA